GGCATCTTTACATGCAATTTATGCCATTGGGGAACTGTGCCTATAGCTTTATATGTTTTTCTAAAAGATAACTTATTCAGCAAATATTTTCAGCACTCAGTAGAATGACTATGAAACTGGGATATTGTGTACTGCCATTAGTAAAAACAGTAAATCAGGCATCACAAAGATAACATATAAAGGGCTATAGGGGAAATAAAGTGGATTAGCTGTCATTCCTTGATTATGTTTTTTCCATTATGTATTTAAATTCATAATTTTTACAGTGTTTCACGTGGACAGGTGCAACAATAGAGCTGCAGAAAAAGAATTTTGCCCCTGCTGCCAGTAAAGCTCCAGATTCAACAGTTTATTTCCTTCTTGAGGGATACTTTTTCCATACTTTTATCAACAAAGTGAATCAATGACTCACTGCTTGCCAATACAACTCACACTGCGTTTTCTCATTTCCCTAGAACCGAGACAGTCAGTATAAAAATAAATGTCTGTTCTCACCACTTCCTGTCCTGCTCTCCAAAAGAGGTGTTTCAGGGATTTAATTTCTCATCTTTGGCTTTCCCAGTCTCTCTCTCATTATTGATGGGAGTGTCCTGCAACAGGAAATGGCCTTGTCATGTAAGCTTAAATGTGTTAAGGGCTTCTTCCAGCTAAAAATAGGTACCAGAACTATCTTCTAGTTTGTTCCTCTTCTTTTGTGTTAAATTTCAAATGTCATATAGAGCTTAGAATAAACTCAACCTTTTATGCCATTTAAATGCAACAAACTGCTTTTAACAGACTGCTTTGCAAATGTACTTGAAATCCTATTAAGTATTTGCCATGTGGCTCATGATATGTCCATGCTTCAGGAAGAATTGGTACATAATGCATCTGCTGACTTCTTTCAGAGATGAATATCTGCATCAGAAAAGCACTTGGGTGACAGTCAAGAATGAGGCCACACTAGGATCTGTGTATGGTCTTAGGTCCTCAGAAGGGAAATACCTTTAAATTAATGGTTCACTGTCCTAAAATCTCAGTGGGTTAATGGAAAATCTTGTACACTATTAGTGTTGTTACCAATGACATTCAAATCCAAAATATCTAATTGTACCACTGTTAATCACCCTAACATTCGACACCAAGTGTCTGGGTACATATATAGGTGCATATTCATCCTGCACATGAAAAATACGGTCTAATTAGCTTCTTCTAATAGAGATATAAAATATGCCAAAAAAGCACAATGCTTGCATTTATTATGTAAAATATTATATAATTAGATTACCTCTGATAGTGAATGGTTTGGGGAAAAAGGCTCAGGGCTAAGAAAGTCATAGATTCTGATTTCAGGACAATCTAATTTTATTTGGAAATAGTTGTTACTTGACCTTTCTCCTCTGCACATTAGTCAATATAACTGGAAAACCCCTTAAAAGCAAGGCTCTTTGGAATTGTTTGTTCATCTTGAAGATAAAAAATTCCACTTAAACACATCCAAATACTTTCCACTGTGAAAAGAGTCTCTCTTCTTTCTGGCAGTTCCTTAGTCATGAGATTAAAGCTGTGGGGAAAAAAACCCAAAAAGTGTGACACCAATGCCTTTAAAAAAACTACCCATTAATAATTACAGTTTTAATGAATGGCATGCTGAACATTTAAAATCCAAATTCAGTGGAGCAGCACTAACAGTTTATTCCTCCCACCAGCACAATTATCAGGTCAAGGCTGCAGAGAGGGAGAAAGGTTTAATTTTTGGAAGTGGGTGGGAGCGAAGGTTGTGACTGTGTGGTCCTGCAATGCGTGGCACTCTTGAGCTTTCTCTGAGAGTGCAGCTGAGGAAGAGGACCTGTTTTGGAGCATGGCTGTGACAGTGATGAAAAGCAAAAGGAGCCCTTAAGGGAGAAGGGAAGGTGAGTTTGACAGACACACTGGGATGCCTTTGCCAGTTTCCTCACCACCTGCCACAGCCGATGAGCATCATTTGGCCGGCACAACAGAAACTTCCACGGCAGAATCTCACTTCCAGCCATTCATTACCAGTACAGCTGCGGGGGTTGGCTTTGTAAGGACTAGAATGTTGAGCATGTCAGTTTTGATAGGATTTCACTGGAAGATTTCCTTTTAACTTTGGATTGACTGTGGTTGAGCTCCGTGAATTTTTATGACAGTGTGTCTAAATCCACCTTTCTCCATGCTGGCGGGATTGCCAGTGCTCCCTGCAAACCATCTCTTTGTGTCTTGCCTGCATTTTTGTCCTTCCTTCATCTGCCCAGCCCTTATTTTCAGAACTTTTGCGTGTGAATGTACATATCTTTCATTCAACTTTTTCTTACAATTCACTTCTGTCAGAAGCCTCTGTCAAGAATACAGCAGATTATTATCCCTTTTTTACTTCTTTTTGCTTCCAAATTTTGCTTTGGTGTGATTTTACTAATACGACATGTAAACTGTAGAATTCAAAGTGGAAATAAGCAAAAAAACCCAGGATTTGTTAAATCATGAGTACATTTTGGTTTACAGGGTCAGGCAAGTGATCTGAAGCTACATTACACTTTCCAGCCAATGTCAGACAAATTGTTTAATGACTTGCTTCTTGGAATATACAATTTTTATTGCATTAATTGAGGATTTTCACCTTCTTGACTTCATGAATAAGCAGATATAGACACAAGTGCATCTCAGTCTGAAGATAATCAAGTGTGTGGTGGGGTGAAATTTGCTTCCCTCCTGCTATGCTATACCTAGTGATGTTAAATCCTGAATTAAGATGCATGACTGCACAGTTCCTTTGCAGATAAGAACGGTTTCTTTCCTTGAATGCTAAAATGGTTCCGTGGCATCAGGTAGAAAATTTGTGGTACAAAATATCTCGAGAAAATAATTGACTCAGTGAATAATTTATTGAATTTACTGAAAATATTGACCTAGATTTAATGTTTCCACATTCAGAACATGGAAAATGAGTTAAATTGGTGCGTGGAGTTAGCCTAGAGTGAGACTGTTGCAGAATGATTAATTTACAAGTGTGGGTTGTTACTCAAGAAAAGCTACTTAGCTATTAAACACTCTGCTTGGGTTAAGCTGACGTTTTCTTCAAACTAAGAACCAGTGGTCTGGTACTGCCAACCATTAGTGAAGACAAGCTGTGAAAAAAGAAATTGGGAGTGATTAGTAGGCTTGGGGATAGGTAAGGACTGCAATTCTGGGGCTTCTAAGTCTTCAATTTGATTTTTTTAATCACTTTTGAACCTGATTTGATACTAGGTCTCCATCAGCCTGGTGGCTTAACCACATCTTATCCACTTGTGCATTTAAATTGCAGAGGCTATTAGAAAGTCTGGTGCACTGAACTTTAAAGTACCTTAAAAAAGTAGTAGTCTACTTTTCAGAAAAGTGCCTGCTAAACCTCCCTAGGCTTTTTGTCAAAAAAAAAAAGCATCAAATAGCAGAGAAAATTCAGAATAGAAGAATTTATTTCATGTCCAAACGAAAAGGAAGAGCTGGAGATGGACAGCAGCACAGCTAGGTAATACAAAAGGAAAATGAAATAAAACTGATAGATGAATGTAGTTTTCTTTTCATTGTATAGACTGATGTAGTTTCTTTTGACAGAGACTCCTTGTTTTAGTGGACATCAGACAGCCAAATTCATATGATGTCAGGCCTTTTTAAGAAGCAGAATGTATCAGACAAAGCTTTCAGACTGGACATGTACTGCACCTGCAGCCATCTCCTTGTAGGCATACCCTTTCTCACCAGAAAGCATTTTGTCTTGCCTGATTTACATTAATTGTGCAGGTTTTGGTTATGTATAGCATTCAATGAGCCAGCCTTGCCCAGCATGACTGTTTGCAAAAGTATCCAAGAAAGAAAGCTACTTGATAAAATCTGCCAGCAGGTTGAAGCTTCTAACAAACCTTATTTTGCAAAAATGTTCTTTGTAGGAAGAAGTTCACAAAAGAGATCACATTATTTTCAAGAAAAAGAAAAATTGTGTCAGCAAATGCTGGCTACAGGGGAAGGGCTCTAAGGGGTATTGGATTCAAAGTGTTGTGGTACTTATGAAGGTAATGGTGGAACTGTTTAAGCTGAAAGTTAAAGAGAGATAGATAGCACAAAATCTGTGGGGGAAGTAGTGGAGACTTCCAAGATTGCAGAGGGATGGGAAGCCAAGCTTGGATACTTGCCAAAAAGGGTCTGGTTGGGGTTCAGGCTACCATATAACCCATTACAGTCACCCTTTAAACTGCTATTTGAAACACAGAAGTCATTAAGCAGACTAGGGAAAACAACTCCCTATGTGCTGGCAGCTTCAAAATTATGGTGATTTAAAGAGAAAGAGAGGATGGTCGAAAGGGTTATGTTCTGTAACAGGATCATGGGAAAGAGAAAGAGAAAGGCATTTTAATCTTTGCTTCATAAGTGAGTGACCAGTGGTGGGAAAAAGGATTAAGAGATCCCACAGTGTCCCCTCCTTTTGACAAGAGTACCCCATGCACTCATATGCAACACCATTAACTCCTAAAAAAGCATATCTCTTTTAGTGCAATGACAATGGGAGATTCAGGGAATCCTTCAGTTTGCAAATGGAAGACAACCCATCCCATCCATCTACTTATGGGTGTTACTATTTCAGATACAGATGTCTGAGCTCTTTTCAGTCAGCGGGGAGAGCCCAGGGAGTGAGAATCTACCTCAGCCTGAGTGGAGTCACTTACTAGACCAGTTGGTTTTCTAGGAGACTGGTTTTGTATGGGACACTGGACGCCTAATTTGCTTGTAGACACAAATTAAGAATCTTAATGGTTCTCAATGTAAAAAAAAAAAAAGCATTAGCAAGTTAGACTTCAGATATGTATTTCTTGGGGGATGTTGAAATCTGTTAGAATGTCTATAATACTTATCAAATGTAGGAAAGCAAGAGCTACACTAGTGTCCAAGTTCTTTTAACAGTGCTTTCCACAGTGCTGTCCTGCACCAGCAACTCATATGTTCTGTATCTCAACTTTTCTGAACAGGAACTACTGTATAGAGGCACAAGAAGTCTCCTCCAGAGACAGGAATACCAACCTCTGCTGAAGATTTGCAGGCCTTATTCCACTCTTTACCACTCTTAGTAAACCTGTCACAAGCTGAACACACTCATTGACACAGTCCCTGTAGTCGGGGTCTTGGCCCTTGCAACCAGCAAGAGCTGGAAAAAGAAGTACCAGAGATAAACCTGCTGGGTCCTTTCAGTGTGCAAGAATCTCTTTTTCTTGGATTGTATGTAGGGCAGTCAGCCTGAGAGGATCTTCACAAACTGAAGGGAACAGCATGCCCACACTGATAGTTTCCAATACTCAGCTGCTTCTGTACCACAGAACTGCTGATGGTGTATCAGACAAGATGCAGAACTTTAAAAATTTCAGGAATGGCCAAGAAACCAACAACTGAGCATCAGGCACTGAATATCTTTTAGAAAGCACATCCTTTTTAGTTCACAGGTGGTGTGAGGAGGAACAATTGACTTGAAAATTACAGCCGTTCTGCAATTTCTTCAAATTGACATAAATCAAGGAATAACTACTTAGAATAACCAACTCCTTACTCCAGGACATGATCAGAACCAGAAAATTATATTGAAGCTGGGAAGATGAAGAGATGTTTGGATATGCTGAGATCACAGTTTTCAGCTGTAAGCACAGGAGTGCACATTTTAACAATGGAGCAGATGCTTCCAATTATCTGCAATAAGGAGAAGGGACACTTGAAAATCTAGCTAGTATAAGGTGGCTGTCAGAAGGCTCTTGGATAAGAAGAAAAGGATGCAAAGTGCAGCAAAATAATTTTACTTTCATAACACATTAATTTTAAGACTGCTCTACAAGTTGAAAAACTCATATGTATTCTAATGACTGAAAGAAAAACAATCAAACTGGAAATCTTAATGTAGAGTGCTTTTCCTATTTTAAACCATGACAAACTTTACTCATGAAATATTTCCTTTGATGTTCTACAATGTTATTCAAATTTAAATAGATTTACATGTTTTACTGTGCCTACTGCTTGCTCATGTAGTGCTTATATGAACTGAAAATAAGATTCCCGTAGAAAGGGATGGCTTGTAATGTACAGAACTGTGCAACACAGAAGAGAAGAAATTGTACAACATAGAAGAAATATAAATGTAGCCCCTTTATTCACTCTTTTGCAATTACTGCATGCCACATCCTGGGGCATGTTTTTGATTTGCTATGTGCTTAGCAGAGTGATGTTCAGGAAGGCTGAATTGCCTGCCCAAACCATGCATGTGCTGACAGGCAAATTCATGTCTTGTCATTTGTTCCTTGGTCTGTGCTAACTCAGGCTGCCTGCACTCTCTGCGTGTTTTTTTCTCCCGACCCTCATGAAGAAGACAAGAACCATGGACAATCCTTCTCTCCAGCGTGTCAAGCCTGTGTTCCAGCCACACCTTTGCACTTCCCCATCACTCTGATAGCTGAGCTGTCACATCTTGTCCGTGTGGCACACAGATGAGTGAGGTGCTGCCAGAAGACACAATGGTAACTGCAGATGTGCAGGCTTTGGGTAAGGCTGCTCTGAACAAGCCAACACCAAGTTCAGGATTGCTCCACATTCTTTGACCATATCAACAGCATGTGCCAAATGATCCGACCACAAAACCACAGCTGTGAGTTTATTCTCCTGGACAAGCCCAAATGCATTTTTGTTTGTGAGTTCCAGCACTCTTCTTTTGTATTTGATTACCTGGGAGGGGAAAAAAGTCAATAAAACTGAAACAAGCTTTTGGTGAAAGATTAGTGCTTTTAGCCTTCTTTCTTTTCAAAATGCATTCATCTTGGCTGTATAGAAAAAATGTTATTTCAACTTGCTGCCACAAAAAGTGTGAGAAAAATAGATCATAGATAAATTTTATAGTAAAAATTGTGAACCTATTGACAATTGAGATAATATTTTGCTGATAAAATAAATATACCTTTTTAAAAGGTCCTCTCTCACTCCACTGCTGTTAAATGTGATTATTAATTTATATGCAGGACTTGCACATAGCAGAGCTTATCCACGCTTCAAATGCAACTAAAAAATCCTGCAGGAAAGTGCTCTTTTCTTGGCAGTTTGTGCAAAACCTCAAAAACAAATAACTGAAATTAATTTGAAAATCATTATTTTGGGACTAGATGAACTCAGTACTACCACCCAAAATTGCATCTACAGAAAAGAGTGTTGAAATTTATTTAAGGTAACACATTCTTCATTCAGCAAACTTCTTAATCATTACTTTGGGTCAGATAATTGTTTTTGCTCTTGGTGTTCTGCTAAGTTCCCCAGATGATTTGACATTGGCCTTTCCTGGCTAATTTGTGGTGCTCTGAAGAAAGCGTTGATAATGCAATTAGATGCCTCATTTCATTCTTCCTCAAGAACCACAGGAAGCTGCTCAGCAGTGATAGTGAGTTAAAGAAATTCTGAGCAGCTGGTGATAACCTCTTCCTCCAAACACTGATACACTCTGGGCAAGCCAAGAAAGGTAACTGCTTGCTTATTTGGATGTGTGGACAGAAGTCTTGGAGGTTATTGTTAAAACTTCACTGCTTGGTATCAATGTCATTTTGTAAAGAAAGTGAGTCCAAGTCAGTAGACTGGGTACACCGTGAACAAATAAGGTCTTATGCCCTCATTTACCTGCCTGGGAAAAAAGACAAGGATCTCAAGGAAGGAAATCCAAAAGGGTTTGATTAAAAATGTTTAAGGCTTTCTGAAAGACTTTGGAATAGGTTTTTCAAACATATCCTGGTGTTTGAAGTTTGTTGAACAAAATAAAGTTCAAGAATGACTACTGCAGAAGGCTAGGCATGCATGGTCTGCTCAAAGTGTTCTACTGTTCTACTCTGGCTTTGTGGGCTTTATACAGCAGCCCCTTCTGCCTCAGCAGTACACACATTAATTTCTTCCCTAATTATTGTATCTCAAGAAGTTAAAAATAACAAAATATGTGAAAATTGAGACAAAAATGAAAATACAATCAATGATGTTATTTTAACTTTCAGCTAAAATTTAATTATGTTCTCGTGTAATACCAATAGTACAAGGATCACTTGGAGTTGAATTCATAAGCCTTTAATGGTCTTTTAGACATCCTGGAGTATCTGAGACATCTGCACGTAATTTACCAGATAATATAGGACCTATGTGAGTCTTCTGACTTTCTGGAACAAGGAAGTAGGAAGCATGTCTTAAAATGATGCTAAATATAATTTTGACTAGTAAATTTCACCCCTTTCGTTTAGGATTACATTTGAAAGGCAGCTACAGATAAAGCTCTTGTGTGCATCTGTTCTTGTCTTACTTCTACCATACAAAACTACTAAGTAACTTTACTGATATAGGTTGGTAAAACAGTGGAAACAGAAGTATTGTATTTTCTTTTCATTTTCCAAACTGGCAGGAGGTACATTATCTTCTGAAATTCTGTATAGGTGTATTATATAGTTAATATTCTTTAATGACAGTCCACTACCTGAAATAGAGGTACTGATTGGTTCATTACATAAGTAAAGGTAATTTTAATCAGCTCGTTACCAACCACATCTACTATCATGTGACAGAAAACATGAAAAAGCTAGGGAGGATCCAGCTGGGACTTCTAAACCAAAATGCCGGTTATGTGGAGACTGCAACCATCTTATGTTTCCAGGACAAGGCCACAATATATCAGGAGAAGAAGAAAAGTAACATTCATAATATGATATGCAAGTTCATGAAGCACTCCATATATTTTTATCCTGAAGAGGAGAAGACTGAGAGGGGATCTTATCAATGTATGCAAGTATTTGAAGGGAGGGTGCCAAGAGGATATAGCCAGGTTCTTCTCAGTGGTTCCAGCAATAAGAGTGAGAGACCATGTATGGGCAGAAACTGGAACACAGGCAGTTCCACCCAAATATGAGGAAGAACTTTACTGGGTAGGTGACTGAGCACTGGGACAGGTTGCTCAGAGAAATTGTGAGATCTCCTTCTCTGGGGACTTCAAAAACCGTCTGGACACAATTCTGAGTAAGATGCCCTGGGAGATCCTGCTTGAGCAGGGATGTTGGACCAGGTGACCTCTAGGGGTCTTTCCAGCCTCATCCATCCTGTGATTCAGTGTGTGATTTACATTTGGCATTCAGACTACACAGTTAATTATGCTAATGTGCTGTCTTTGAAATGACATGCTGAGTATGTCCTAGGTAGAGGGATATGGGAAAAAGCAATATATTTGCATACCTTGAAGAACTTCAGCATTACAAAAGCCATTTTATTCTAATGCAGGTGCTTCACTGTGGATAGTCAAAATTCTTGCATAAAATATGTATCAACCAAATTGGTAAGAAAAAAATTCTCCTCCAAATTTTGACACAATGAAGACATCATAAATCCATATCAAAGCAAAGAAGTAAATAACTGAATTTAAATAGTTTTGAGATGCCAGAAGTAACAGGAAATGAAAATTTAGCAACTGACCAGATTCCTTCTGACTCAAGCACAAGAGAAACAGTGCAAGGGGACAGGCAACCAATTTTTGTACAAGATAACCTTGTTGTTAAAGGAAAGGAAATGTTCAGATCCACTTTCCAACTTTCTGGTTTGACTTCTAAATACTACTAAAACTAAAATACTTTCTAAACCAAATGTTCATGTTCAAGTGGATAGATCTCTTCTATCACACAGAAGTCAGAATAAGGAACAGGTAAATTCTGTTAAGCAGAGGCCTGGGTTTTATTGTCATACGCAGATCATAGCACAGTTTCCTACATAAAATTGTCATGCTCAAGAGAAGTTAAAGACTGTATGCAGTACTATCCAAATTTGGGATTGAAAAACATATTTTAAAGAAAAATTGTTTTTCTAAAGCCATATGAAAAAACCCACTGACTTCTGGCAGTGCCTGTAGGTCCAAGATGTATTTTGGGTAAGACATGATGAAACTAAGAGTAGTATGAGAGCATCAAGAGGCAAACTGAAAGCTAAAATACTGAGATGGTAGCAGCTATTTGTATTAATCCTTTTCTTAATCTGCAGACATCTTCAGTGAGCAGATTAATATCTTGTGTGAAGCATGTGGCCATCCCAAAGACTCTCTGGGTGGTTCTTGCTGCAGAAGTGATCAAACTATACAATATAAGATACTTGAAAATAGTCAGTAGAAAGTGTTCCTTCAGCTTTGAAATGATTGTGTAGATAGAATATCTAGGATATGTTTCTTATTTAGTTTAAGGTACTCAGTGATAGATCCTGCCCAGGCTGGAGCAGTCATGCTGGACCATGGTTCAGCTGACTGTAAGAGATGAGCACTTTGGGGAGTGTTTCCTGATCCACTTGAAGGTGCTGCTGGAAGGACCCTTGCAACAGACTCCCATTAGCACCCAGACTGCAAACAGCCTGCTTGTTTATGAAATTTGTTTTTCCCACCCTATGCCAAAATCCACCAGCGTCTGTGCTTCTCTGCTCTTCTTCTCCAACAGCAAGTCAAAGTCAGTCTAAGCCTGGATTTTGTAAAATATCAGCTAAATGTGAACAGGCTGGCTCAGCCTGAGAAGTGCAGTTGTGTTAATAAGGTGCTTTCCCTGGGCTTATGGTATTGCTCAGACAGGAGAACAGACCTGGGGGAGTACTATGCTAACACAATTAAAGCACCTCTAACATCTGTGCTGGCTGCTTAGAGGTAGCCTGAGAATTTTTTCAATTCAGTTATTCTCTCTGAGACATTAGAAAAGTAGGGCTACATTTTCTTGCTTTGCAGGAATTTTTCCTTTCTTTTTTGCACATAGATTTTTACTGCTTTGGCTTCAAAGAAGCAGGACTGCAAGGACAAAAGATGAGAGAAAATTTAGTCTACCTAAATTAACTTTATTCCTTTTCTTCCCTAAAAAGGCAATTATTATCTTCCTAACGCCATCTCAATAACATCAAATAACTTATCTTGAGAAACTCCTCTTTACATAAAAGCATAAAGATAGAAAGGTTTATCAGTTTTGGTGAAATGAAACTCTTATATTTCAATTAATTTTGTTGACGTATTTCTTTGAATTCTATATTTTTAACTCCATGTTACTCGTGTCAGTATCTTGTCAAAGAAAGCAGGCCAAGACCTCTGTATTTAAGGGCAGGAGTCTTGGTTAATTTAGTGCAGTGATAGACTTGGATAAAGACTGTTTATTCTTTGGACCCAACTCCTTCCATTAAATTGAAGACTGCTGAGTGCTATGATAGGGGTTGGTTATAAGGACCACTGTGAACATCTGTCTGCAATATTATCATTAATGTCAGTGCTGTGTTTAACTCCCAAGTGAACTTGCAGTGAGTGAGAAGGGACAATCTTATTTTATATGTTTTGTATATAAAAGGTTTTGAAACCCTAACTTTGGTTGGAACCCCCAGATAAAATTGGAATAGCATAAAAATGAATAAGAATGATAAAAGTGCAACAGCAATTAGGGCAAATCACTGTGCCATACCTTAGATCTCCAAGAAAGTGTTATAGCCCTGCCTCTATTACAGCATTGTTTTTGGTTATTTTACCTATCTTGTGCTATTTATTGAATACCCTTCTTTAACAAAGGGGAGGAAAATTCCACATGGTATGACTGTATGCTAAGTGACTTCAGTTCCACAACAGTGCTTTCTCATATAAGAAAGTAATTTCTGGTCTGGATTAATAAAAGAAGAACAAAATAGCCTGCCTATTTTTTATCTTCAGCAGATTTTCCAAAAATAGCTTTGAATTA